GTTCTTTATTTTAAACTATATATCTCCTACCGCTTTATCTTTAACATTTTTTTCCATCCTCTTAGCATTTCATACACAATAAAAAATATTTATTGAAGATCCCGGAAACTAAATTAACACCTGGCTCAAAGACTTTTATCCAAGCCAGAAATCGTAATAAAAAAATGCAAAGAGATTTAAAAAATATTACGTTGGCAGCACTGAACTTGGCTTCTCTCGTGGGCTCTGTGACTGTGACTGAACAAAATCGAACCGCCATTTTGTTTATTTGTGCCTTGCTTTTCACATGGACGCGGATGGCAAAGTGAACGGGGGTGGTGAGTTGTGGTGGTGGTCCGACATAGTGATGTGATCTCAAAAGACTTATTTTTGATTTGCCTTGTCGGCGGTTAATGTAATGTATTTATGACAAAAACAAAATAATTTAAAGAAGACGCCAGGCGCCTGTAAAAACCTGGCTTGAGAGGCTAACGGTAAGTGTTTGACAGATACCTTTTTTGGTTATAATTTTAAAATATTGTATTTTATTCATTCTTAAACATATGATAGTCAGTACATACTACAGTACTGCAAACATGATATTTGGTTATGTAGAGTATATCGGAATTAAAATAATTTTGTTTTCTTATCTTTGTTGTCAGTTCTGAGTATGAGCACAAACAATAATGAACAAAATGGCCGTCAGCCGCCATTACCTGCTTCAGTTCATTCCGGGCCTCCAACTGATCCACGGCCAGGTGCGGCGGCGGCTGCTGCTGCTGCTGCTGCGGCCGCCGCCGCAGCAGCTGCAGCTGCTTCCGAACAGCAAAGACAAATATGCCGCAAATTTGTTTGGGGTACTTGCACCAAAAGTTCCAGTTGTAAATTTCGGCATGAACTTGACATCAATGAGATGAAAAAGATATTGAAATTTTGTCACGACTTTCAGAATAAACAAGGTTGTAACAGAGCAGAATGTACATATTTACATACTTCGAGAGAGGAACAAAATAATTTCCTTGCCACAGGACAAATACCACGTGTATTAGCAGAAAGATATGCCACTTTGGCTGATACATCCAGTTCTCTGCAAAATTTTGAAGCTTTACCACAGATGATTATGACATTTGTGTCACCGCCGCCGCCGCCGCCCCCACCGCCGGCGCCAATGATGATAACAGGCTCGGCACCGCCGCCACCACCCCCGCCGCAGCCCATACCTTTCGGTCCTGTACAACAACCACCGCCACCGCCGCCGCCTCCTACTATTGCAACAACGTCTGTAGCGCAAGCACCTGCTGCATTTACTGGTGATTAAATCATAATAATTTTGTAACTTAAGTCTAATGTTGGTTGTAAAGATATTTAGATATATATGGTAAGTTTTTGTTCTAGGTCCACCACCTCAAAATACACCAATAATATTTCCGTTGACGCAACCTCCACCTCCACTACCAGTGTAAGATATATTGTAATTACTTTGCTGTAGGTGTTTAAGCTCATTTTTTTATGTGCAAAATATAGAAAATGTCAAGTGACACATTATTGTTATGTTTTTAAAAATAGAAGCCACAAGAACCCATTATTTTCATGTTTGTAGCTAAACTTAGCAAGTGTTCTGGCTGACAGCATGTACTCTATATGTTTGTCAGTGATAAATACTGAAAATTAAATCAAATTGTGGTTACAATTTGTTTTGTGCTTGTTCAACTACAATTATAATGTATACTGATTGTGGAACACAAAAGTCAGTTTCATGTTTCCACTAATAGAAATTTCGAATATTGTTTTTTGAAACATAGGAACACTGAATATGTTTAATATAATTAAAATTACCATAGCATTTTTCTGCCTTATTTCCTACCCTTCTTAGAGATTATAATATCTCTCTGGAATGGATCTGGAATTGTATCTTAGAGGACATCACATGCGACTTGACCTTCAAACCTACAGTCATCCAGCAAGTGCTTATTTCCTGTTCTCTTCAATAACGTACTATTATTACCAATTGCTTTTATAACAGGTTTGATGCATCTAGACCACCACCATCTACACCACACCAAAGTTCTAATAAAAATGGGACAGTGAAACGTCAGCTAGATAATATTGAAGGTAAATTTTTTGCTTTATTTGTTTTTGTAGTATGTAGTATGATGTAATAATTATCTTAATTTACTAAACATGTCGATCTTATTTGTCAAAAAAGTATTTGACTGCTTCTAAATAAATATTCATAATGTTTGCTCAGCGATATAAAAATAGAATTCTCAAAACATGACCATTACATTGACTCTGTCCATATTAACTAATAATGTAGCCGAAGCGAATATTATTGAATTCAGAGAAATATGGTCGTCAATGTAAATTATAATTGCAATAAAATTTGCAAGTAACAAGCAGTTTTTTACGTAATAAAATTTATACTTGTTTGCTAAGTTAGTATTAATAAATATTTTAAAATTGCTATGTAATTAATTTACTTTAGTCAAAAATCTGCCAGCAAAAATATATTTTGTATTTTATTAATACTAGCCAATTTTGTTCTACCATTTATGCTTAATTTTGCCAAAGGCGCACAGTTACGAATTTTACAGAATTATGAACTGCTTGTTTTGATGATTATTTAAAATTATTATTTATTTAAATTTCTTTGTGACTTATAAATGCTTAAGGTTTCAATAAATCTACTTATGTGGGTTCTCAGTTATTTTACTTGCATTTAATATTATTACAAAGCTATAGAATTAAGCAAAAAATTAGATAATGACATAAATTTCATTAGTGTTAATATTGTGACAGTAGTTCATGGTTTTAATTATACACTACAGTTTCTATGGATAATTAAAAATGTTCACTTATTTATATTTGATCAAATAATATTTGGCGTTTGTGATTTTGCAAGTATTTATAAGCTAAAATGAGCAGTAGACTTTTACATAGGTATGTTTAACAATTTGACGGTAAAATCATATTGTGAAATTTGTATAGCACAGAAATTGTAGTGTTGCTAAAGTTGGAATATTTTGATCTGATTGCTAATGGTGTGTCTGGCTTGGCGCTGATTGGTTCTGTTCTCAGCCGGTCCAAGCAAAATAAGGAAGGCAGAGGGGCCCAAAGCGGACATTCCGTGTGAACACTGTGTCCAGCGAGAAATAAGGTTTGCAATATCGCACTTTGTCCTTATATTGTCTGCATGGTATTTTATATGCAAGATCCTGAAGACGAATATGACGCATATGAAAAGTACTTAAACACATAAAATCGACAGATATCAGTAAAAAAACATTTAGGTTGCGAGTGTCATGCAAAGCGCGTTAAGTCGAAAATAATCATATAATTGCGAATTTTTAAAAATCAATTCCCTATGGATTGCTGATCAATGCTCTCGCTATGTAATTTACACATTTCACATACAAATATTTCAAGAATAAAATCAAATAACGCGCAAGTTAGATACCTGGAAAACGTAAACGCTGTGCGAAAAGTGTGTTTAGTAATATAGTTTCCTTACTGCATATGAGATTCATAATCGTAAGTTCCTGGGAATTTTCTTCCCATTCTTAAGCTCTTCATAAAAGTCATGAAACTTCTGATTTGGTTGCCACTATACCAATATATGTCTAATAATTTGCTGTTACATAAGAACAAAGCGTGTTCAATAATAATGAGATGACTAAGTTCCTAAATAAATAAAATCAAGCGTTGTAGGTGTTTGCGCGGCGACTTATAACACAGCGGCGGTTTCTGCTATCAACATGCTCCTTGTTGCGACGTCTCAATCACCTGTTGCGACACTTACTTCCGCCCGCCGAGATATCACTATCAAAACGATACTGAAAATCTCTACTAACAAACAATAGACAGTCATCCTTTTTTACATATATCTTTGATACACTGAAGTTTTATAAATATACGTTATTTTTAGGGTCGACATGTACAAACAGAAATTGGCTAAACTCTCTAGTGAAGAGGAGTATCTTAGCTTAATGTACAAAAAAAAGATAGAAGAATATGACCGTGGCAAGAGCATGTTGCGTACTCTGGTGACTCCAGAACTGTACCGCATATTGGATGAGTACATAGAGGTGATTAAAATGAAATTCAGTATTAGATCAACAAGTGAGAATTCCTTATTTAAAAATATTTGTTTGTTTTAGGGTGGACCACCGCAAGTACAGGATATTTTAGCACAACTAAATCAAAATCCTTTGTTAACAGTAAGTTAAATTATTTTCAGATTCCACTTATTAAATCCATGTATGTACCTCTGCAATTTTAGTTATAATATTATATGACATTTCAGTTAATGGAATGCCTCATGACCAGAAATGTTGTGGAATCGGTAAGTATAAATAAAGTTTCTAGAAAATAAAATTTCTTCAGAATCTACCTACAGTCCCGATCGGGCCATTTATATTACGCGTCTATTTTAGACTTCTGCTTCCCGGTTCGTCTGCTTTTTATGTCGTCTATTTTTGTCATCAGTCTACATACCAAAATGAAAACGGGATATTCAGAATTTTTGTTTATTTTGTAATAAATTGTTTGGTTCGATCAGGTGACACCTAAATAAACACACTCAATACTTTTCTATAAATATTTTTCCATTTACTATCGACTAGCATTTAGGAAAATTTCTCAATTCCTTATATTCATAGTGCCCTTTTCGCTTCGGTCCAACCAAATTTTGACTGAATGTTCACTAGTCATTAAATTAGATTTAAAATTTAATTATAAATAAATCGAACAAACAACAAAAGACAGAAATAATATTTACATTCAAGTTATTATAACTGAAACTAGTTAAACAGAAATACTTAAAAACATGACGTAATAGCATAGATATAGAAAAAAAAGCGTAGATTTGGTATGGCGGCGTGGTTTGTATCGCCTCGATATGATCAAAATGATCATATCGAGGTGACACGCCTACAAACATCGCCACAGTGACATGACGATCGTTGTACACACAAGATCTCTCTGAAAATGCCAAGTTGTAGCGATACACCTTGTAAAAATTTGAGTGAAAACAAAAATGTTAAAACCATTTCAACTTCATGTCAATTTGTATGTTGCTGTTACTTGAAGAAAAATGTATGTGTATTATTGTTTTAGATAATTTACATATTTAAATTCCATTATATTCGTAGATTAAACGTAGAGTATTTTAAATTTTTAAGTTTTTCCAATGAGTTCAAAATAAGAGATGGTTGGAATGAAGCTGCAGAATAATCGAAATATTGGTTTTCTTATTACTATTTCTGACTTTGTTTAAATTTCCATAGCAAATGCATTTAAAAAATAAATAAAATAAAATTGGCTTTATTTTATGTGTGCATGCAAAATAAATTGGAAACAATTATAGAAAATTACATAAATCCTTTATAAAAAACAACATAATCTAACTTATTAAATTTGGTTTGAGTTTACTCTTGACAGTGACAGCTTCACCAACTCATGGTAATGTATAATGGAAAACTGACACTGGTGATCATCGCCATATTTTTTATATTATTCTTAAAAACTGACACTGGCCCAAGCCTAGTGTATGCCATTAAGAAAATAATGATAATTTATATTAATATATTAATTAAATAATACACCAGTACCAGTGTAGGTATAGTGTGAAAAATAGAATATTTTTTTAATATTAAAAACAGCCACATGGTTTGTAACTGTCGATTCGGTGGGTCCACATCCCTCGTTGAGTAGCGTCAGTTTAAGGTTAATAAAGTTAACAAACAGTTCACGGAGTGGTTTCCATCCGCGCCTGCCGGTGCTACGGGACAGCGGTTTTATTTCAATACTCACGACCTCGCAAGTTTGTGCGGGCACGTAGCCGTCGCGGTTGCGGGCACGAAATCTTTGCGATTGTGGAACGGACCGCGAAGTTAGTGGGAGTTGCGATTAACTCGCGCACACAAGTTAACAGAGAACTTATCACCAAAGTGCGCGGGCGACGACAGCCTCCAAGCGCGCAGGTGATCGCATCCTGCGCACTTCTACTAGTACCCCGCCGCGCTAACCGCGAGTAACCGTCATCACTACAGGCGTAAAACGCGTCGTGAAATGTGCTACTAATTTTACATGCTTAACTATCACAATCTACAGACGCCGCGGTCACGCGACAGGCGTGGGTGAAAACCGCTCCGTGAGTTCTTAGTGTAAGTAAAATTAGTTTCAGCGCCATCTAACGTGTAATAGTTAGCTATTATATACTGATAGCATTTTTACTAAAACGCCACCTGATGGTGACTGGCTGAACCAGGATGAAAAAAATACTGAAATATTGTAATAACTCGTACTCAAGTGACTGTAAGTTTAATTTTGTTAAATTTTGAAATTGTGTTACTTTCGTTTTCACGTTTTAAGCCCTACACAATCAAAATCTTTAAGTTATGGCACACTTCGGACACTCCATAGAACAGTCGAAAATTATTTACTTACTACTACAACAAACAGCAAGGCGCTATCTGTACACGCGCGAATGTGTGCGTGAAGTGGCAGGGTTACCCATCACTTGCTCGTACTATTATTACGTTACGTGGTCAGAGCGGCAACATAGCGAAAATTCTAATGCGAATCTGTTATCTATAATTCTATTATATAATCCTAATACTTATACATGTTCATTACGTATTTAGATCGATATAATATTTTATTTTTTATTAATTCACTAACTAAAATAATATTGAAGATTTATTTAAAAAATATATTAAAAGCACTTATAATGTTATATTTTGGACAGGTACCTATAAATAAGGTAACCAAAGTATTTGAAATTGCGTGTCCAACTTTATCATCCTAGTTAATAATTAGGTATATTTACTACGTAATATTTATCGGCCATACAAATCGAAAATTCTACAGCCCTTGTCTACCTCACGAAGTTTGGCGTCTTATTATATTGATATAATAAATCTGTACTATATATTACTCTGCACTAAAGAAAACAATAACTGAATGAGTCTCAGACATATTTTTTTTTACTTACTTCGTTTCATCTTTCAAAAAACGAAAGAAACTCCTCTCGTTATCCCGTTTAGATGAGTATAAGCAATAATATGTATACTTATTATTAGTTAGTTTCTTAAGTTCTCATTTAAGTGAATTGTAATTCTTATGAGAATAAATTTCTTAAACCAGAATAAACAGCCGTACACAGCACAATTCACGAACATTATAAATAGTAAAGTAAAATGATGGTATATATTAACGTACAAATTTCGTAATGAATAAATGAAATCTATATTCTAGCATCAAAGCCGTCTTAGCGCGAAAACAGCTCGCCGACAGCCTTGTACTCGTTCAGTCAATGTGACCGTCAATGTGCGGGGCGTGGTGCGGTATCTAAAGCTAGGGAGGGGTGGAGAGTGTCCGTTCTCATTACTTATTTTTCTCTGGTTATGGTAATAGATAATGGAGCGTAAAGTTTGAATTGCACACAAGCGTAGCGTCATTACATATCTCCCCTTTTTTTCTATATCTATGTGTAATAGATACATAAAGACATTCAGACAAGTGAAACAACCAGGAAGGTGGACCATTTGCACAAATGCACTAATCGGGAAAGTCGACTATGGACAAGTGGGTAAATTAGGACAGTAGACCAATGATTCTGAAGAAATAAAATCTCATTTGTACATGTAAAAATATATTTTATTTTTAAAGCCATCTTCAGCTTCTGTGCGTCTGGATGAATCAGTATTGCAGTCCCTAACATCTATTACTAGGAGAACAAATACACATAATTCTGTACCTAATCAGCAACCTGATGCACTGCAAATTATTATGGAATTCATTCGTACAGGTATTACTTATGAATCAATTATTGCGATGTGTAATGGAATGTATTATTTTATTACCTACTTGGAATTTTTATTTCAACTTACCATTTTGTATTGCAGTGAATCCGTCATTAGAGAGATCACATTCCGTAGATTTTAGCCCAAATGATACAAGCGACTCTAATAGACCTAGTACTTCAAGTAATCAGGCCAACAATTTAAATGGTTTTAATCGTTACACTAACGGACAGAAAATGGACAGTCCTCCGACAAGGGCTTCTAATTCTGGTCGAATTCAAAATGTCATAACCACTTCTGGGCGCGCTTTTCCGACTGCCAATGCTCCACTACAGAGCCCTGTGGCTCCCGCTGCTACACCCGCACCGTCGCCGGCATCTACAACACCTACATTCCCTCAATACCATCCGGGTATACCACCACCGCCGTTCCGGCCTTATTATCCGAATCAACAATATACCAGCCCAACATCAACGAGTACGTAAATAATAGTTTAGTGGTATTAAATTTCATAGAATATTTTAAGTACAACTTGTGTTTTGTTTGATCATCAAGGTGGGACGGGTATGCCGATGCCTCCTTACAACGCTGCTGGTCCTAGGGCCCCCGCGGCACATCAAATGGCATCACGGCCATCCACTCACGGAGCGCCACCGGCAGTGCCGCCACAAAACTACAATCAGTACATGATGCCGAGGTACCCACATCCTCCGTACTATCCTCCGTATCAATAACAAGAGGTATGTCTCCTACAGACCGCATCAACTGTCAACGTGACAACGCTGCGTGCGATGGCGAATTGTTTAGATTAATTTACTTTGTTCCTTTTGTGCCTTATTGAGACTGATTTTATATAGATTTAAGGATTTTTGTACCTGATTTTTTTGTGTGAAAATGGTCGCAAGTAGCCAGTAGTCATTTTATATCTTCTCTGTAGTTTAAATATCTTGACATACAATTATTTGTTCTGGATTTTGTCAGTGCGCTTGCTAAATGTATAAGAAATGTGCATTTTTGTTCTAAAGATTAATATTATATAATCAGAATCGAACAAAGTGACCAAACACACTTTAATTAATTGATAGCACGTTCATATTTTCTAACCATTTTAGTTTAGCTCTCGATTGATTTTTAGAAACAACGTGTTGCCTGTGGTGACTTACGGCAGTGAGTCATTACGCCGGGTATAGTTCTCTAAAGGTCGTCAAGTAACTTGCGCTCATGTAGGACACCAAAAGTTAAGAATGTTTATTGTCTCCTAGACGAACTAAACTTTACTTGATTAACTATAGAGAGTAATGTGGTCGGCGTATCTTGTTGGATAGTCTGCACTGAGAACGCTCATAGAAAAACCGAACTCACCAACATAGTTTTAGCAATTCGAGACTATCAAAACTGACGAGCAAATAAAAGTAACAAGTTTATGGCGTCTCACATTGGGTGGACAGATTTCAGTTTTCTCGTGGGCCCCTAATAAGACATTTCTCGTGGTCCCACTACTATTTTTCTACTGCCTGTATAACATTAAAGTCGAATTTGATTGGTATGTCAATAATCGTGTCGTCTATTCTTTTCATACAAACAATTTCGTCATAATTTTATTTGCACTTATTACAGCGAAGCAGTCTGTCATCGTAAATACCTAGTCGCCATTTATTTATCGCCTGCCACTGTAGATAAAGTTAGTCTATGCAAAGCAGTCGTATGTGTGTACATAAAACATGCTGGAAATATATTTTCGTTACTATAGAAATCAGTGGTATCACGAGAAACAAGTTTCCCTCGTGGTCGTAAGACTACTACTAGTGTATGAAAACTTAGAACACGAGAAAACGAAAGTCATTAGGGGTGGACGAATACAGGCGTACGTACATGTTAACATCTATGTTCAGCAGTGAAAGTCTTCGCGTGTCTTATTCCATCGTGACCATGGTCGAGTTTATGAAATTTGGCTAGCCAGATTAAAAAGTCGCTATTTAGTCGGTCTGCCGTTCAAAAGTTATAAGAAAGTTTTACTGTCCCCGCTGACATAAGCTTATTTTAGCGGCACAATTTCTCAAGAGTGAGAGAGAGAGAGATTGAGGAATTGTGCCGCTGGACTAGACTTCCAGGGTGGACAGTAAAACACCCATATAACTTTTGAACGGTGGACCGTTTAAATCTCATTTTTTGCTACTAGAACCGACTAAATAGCGACTTCTTATCTGATTTGCCAAATTTCAAAAACTCGACCATGGTCACGCTGAAACAAGACACGCAGTCTTCCAGTTGTTGACGGAAATGCTTTGAATCTATCTCAAGGGAAGATAAAACAAAGTTCAACCTTTTATACGAGTAGGTGAATATTTGCTATTCTCGACATTATATGCCATTTTGTGGAGGCAAGAAAGCTTGGACTGCCGTGACATTAAAGCAATGTTGACCGACCACAGGGTACACAAATCGAGAGTGGAACTAAAATTATTGAAAAATATATTCTAATCTATATATGTCTATGTTCTAATATTATTATCTATATTCTAATCTTTTATCAACTTTTAATTTATATGTGGTCATTTTGTTCTAAACTAGACGTAACGGGTTAGTGAATTCGACATCGCTGTAGATGTTATTGGCCACGATAAAACAAAGAAATGCACTTACACGATTTGAAAAGCTTCTGACGAAATTTATGCTCCGCTTTTAAATCTGACTGGAAATTTCAACTCTTACATTTTCTCATACAGAAACATTTTTAATATCATCCACAGTAACTATACAGTCCTTCCAATTTTTTAAGAAAAGAAATAAAGGAAATAAAGACTGATTATGAGTAATCTGGTGACCATATATTTTAGTGACATAATGTTTTAAGGAAAATGACATACGTATTTATAAACACATCATTCCATACCAAAGTAGAATAAGCTCACAAAAGTACCTGAATAAATTATTTATATTCGAATTCTACTGGAATTCTATATATCCTATAATCATATGTTTCTGTGCTATTTAGAAGAATTCGAATATAAATAGAATAGAAATATAAATAGAAAGTGCCATCAAAAACGTGAGATTGTAAACAAAAAAAATTGTTTACGTTTCCTTAAACGAATGAAAAAGTGGACGTGGAGGTGTCGACCGTATTTTTGATCCAATATAAAATAGAACATATATCTACTGCATAAAGTATACATTTATCTTAAGAAACGAGTAAAGCTGCGCACCCTGTCGTCAGCAGCTTTGCCGCCACGGGCAATGCACAACGTAACTTAGCTTCTAGACAATAACGTATATTTCTTTGAAATATTGACAGTTGCTGAGCGATTGTTATCCATAGTTCGCGCAATGTAGCTGTGTGATGGCACAAGCTGCCGTCAACAGGGTGCGCCGTGCAGCGCGACTTTCCTCTTTTATTCGAAAAAATGTATACTTAATCTTCTAGAGAATATGTTCTATATTATACTGCATTTCTTAAAGTGCGCCTGGCGCAGCTCGTCGTCGCCGCCGCCGACGCCGCCGCCACCGCCGCTTGCTGCTTCTTATTTTTTAGTTAAAGAAACGTGTAAAAGATAAAGTTTATGTTGCATTGCTCATTTTAGTACATTACAGCGTCACACCGCCTACAATAGCTGTATAGTACAACATACCATTCTTTTTCTGGTTACGCGAATTCAAATAATGCTCATTTTGTTGTTCTGTGTATTTTTAAGGTAATGAAAATATACAAAAAGGTTACACTATACTTTCTGCTATTTCTATTTCTTGAGTCTGTGATACCGTGGCAGTGCTTTTAAAATGATCTCGTGCTAATTTACGCACTTTGGGTTGCCTCACATTGCCGCAGACAGGCGCCGCGGCGCGAGCTCTGCGATGCCTTAAAATGTGCAATGCAGAATAAACTTTATCTTCTGCAAGATAAAAATTTCTTCATACAGGAAATTAATAAGAATATGCATCATATGGCACCGAGTGAGGCCGACCAGCGCAATGCGCACTTACCAAAATGCAATACGAGTATGTAAAACAAGTATTACATTTCTTTGAATCCGAAATAAAAGACAAAAGCCACGCCGCGCGGAGCGTCCAATCGTCAGCAGCTTGTGTCGCCACGGGCAATAAAAATCGTAACTTAGCTTGTAAGCAATAAGGTATATTTCTTTGAAGTAGACAGCCGAGAGACGTCGGGCTGCGTAGCGCGAACTTTGAGAGCTAGATAGCAATGCAACATTGCATTTTCGTTTCTACTAATTTCAGTGACTATTTCTTTGAACACGAAAATTATTAAGAGTCAAACGATGCTGTCTCTGGTTTTTCGGTAGCTTTGTACTTTTGTTATTTTGCATTTAAATAAATATTCACTTTGTTCAGTTCTATTGAGCGAAATTTAGACATAGCTATGCAATATAAAAGAACTTCAAGGCGATGAAATAAAGTTATTCTTTAAATGCAAAATACAAAAGAGTAAAGCTACCGCCGCCGCAGTGCCGCTTTGCCCTTTTGTTTTTTGCTAATAAAAATCGATTTAATTTATTAAAAAACATTATACTTTTATCACCAAATGTCGTGCTACGCAGCCCAACGTTATTAGCGGCCGTCTACCTTTTAGAAAAATATACTTGTTGTAACTTAAGTTACGCTTTGCATTCGCCGTGGCGGCACAAGCGGTCGATGATAAGATGCGCTGCGCTGTACCGCTCTGGGTCACAGTTTTACTCGTTTCTTATTTTAAGTTCGAAGAAATGTACACTTTATTTACTAAAGAATATGTTCCTCTATTTCATTGTGCAAAGTGCGCAAAACGCCGCTTGCTAAATCTGTATCTTCTTTTTATATTTTTGTTTAAAGAAATATAACCTTATCTTGTGAAGAAGATGAACTTTATTGCATTACTCGTTATATGTCGCAGCGTCACATCGCCTGACTGCGGCAATTTGAGCGGACCCGTAGATCTGGGGTAAAATAAAGCGCGCTATAACTTCGTCGTGTTTTATTTAATGAATAAAATTGGTACCATTTTTTTTTTAGAGAATCGCGAAATTTTATGTCGCGTGGTTTTAAGTTGTGATAAGAAATATAAAACTTAATCTTTATCCTAACCTTTTCTAAATTAGATTTGGCGGGTTGTTTATTTTACTTTTAGAATTTATATGTATAGTAAGTGAAATTATTGAATGATTAGTAATTAAGTTGTTTTGTTCCTAATTAAAAAAAATGGGCGATTACTGTACCTACAATGTACTTAAAATAGTGATGTTATACATATTGTGTGATCTCTAAATATACGTGAATCATAAGGTGCTTACTAGCAGTTTACAAACCAAATATGTTAATTATTATGTTTATTTGTCTTTTGGGGCGTTGTGTATGGATGGTTTTTAAAGAAGTAATTGTAATATAAGTGCGTATTTAACTGGTGCTCAATCCGTCCAGTAGAATTATGTTTAGATCGTTAAGTGATTGTGCCAAAAATAGTAATGTTTGATACACCTAGTCTACAGTAATAAACTCACTACATATTAAAAATATTATGTACCTGACATGAAAATATCTAATGAAAGAATTTATATAATTTAATTTTATAATTCTAATCTCAATGTTTGTTGCTGTGCGTATTTGTTAGCACTGCCGTGCGAATTTATTTCATTTGTGTGTACAGCCGATAGCGCTTCAAATGTAACACATAGCACATCGTGTAGTATACTTCCATAATAATGTTATTGTTTTGAGTTTATTGTGCTATAGTCTGTACACTCGAAAC